ACAAAAATACATTTTTCACATGGAATTTTAAAAAGTAATGTGGTATTTTCTTTTTTGTCAACATGACTGAACCCTTTTATCAATTACTGGTATGTTTTATAGATTTGTTTGCTATATTAGTCCAAATAAAATGGTATTATGAAGATTTTTTGATTTTGTGGATCTTACAAAATTTATATGTTTATCAAATGTAAAATAGATAAAATGATACATTGATATTTTTCACTTTAAGTGCTTGTGTTGTTTAAAATAAATAATTTATTCATGTGAAATATATACACAAATAAGTACACAATTTCGTTGTTTGTAACATGTATTTTTGGTTATCCTTTTAACTCATTCTTTATCAATTAATTTAATATAATTCAATATATTATTTTTGCATATGTTCATGCATATTTCATTTTCTCAAAAAATTATTGGATTCATTGATTATTTGAAATTTGATAATACCAAAAGTTTAATTTCTTTGGCTCAAACACAAAACCTTTAAAAGTTAAAAGTTTTTATTTTTCGTAGCTCTTTTTTGTTTATTATTGTATGATTTGTATCTTCATATCATACAACTAAGGACTTAACATTTTCTTTTCACACCAATTCAACCATTCATTCGAAAAAGTATACGAAACAATACAACACCAAAATGTTTTTTCCAAGTTTAAGTGCATTGCATCGGATGAGATATGTTTTATCAATTGGTTTATATCATTGGATGATATGAAATTCATGAAATATCTTTATTCGCAACTCAACATAGTGCAAATTGTCTTTTAAACCCTTCGGCGCATTTTCACTTGGACAGTTGGACTACAAAAAAAAGTTATCGTAATATACATACATATTGTAAATATTATATAACATACCTTGGGCACATGGAACTCGTCCGTTTTAACCTCATAGATATTCTTGAGGCATAAGGATGACACTTACTATAACATCTGCAATGTTTCACATTCAAGTTTTGTAAGAATTATGACTGATATTTGCTATTGTTCATAACTTAACCAATTAAAAAAAAAACAGAATGAGATTAGTGTATATCTCTATATATCAATTCTCTCATGTCTACTTTCGTTCTTTCACTTGTTTCAAACTCAAACTATTTTGGGATCAGTTGAGTAGATGATTCATGATCCACGTATATAAGTTAGGATATGCCAATGATTGTGCACACATGTTGAAACTGATCTTACTTGCGAATACCAAAAATATTAGTCTAGAGAACCTTCACCTTCTCGCCTCGAACAAAGGTTCTCTTGCAATTTTTTGTCATGTGTCACTGTTGCAAAACTCAAATCTGGTTTCTCGTGAAAGCCATATGCATCCTCTCACAACAATATAATAGAGAAATCAGACCTAGATTCAAGTTATAAAATTTACTAATCAGGTTCTAATAATACACCAATGATTATTTAATGTTACATGAGAACCGTCATGGCCATTGGAAACGGCAGATTAAATCTATTTATAGACGATTGCTCGAGTAAGGATATTTGACGAAACTTGAAGAAATCAAGGAATTGTTTAGACATAATCTTCCATATATGGTTGTTTTCAACAAATCGACGTATTACAAACACAAGTTACTTTCGTAAACGAAAATCTTTTTTTTTTGTCAAAGTCTGAATTTTCATTTAAACCGAAATTAAACCCGCGTTAACTGGTACATAGAGAAGATTTTATACCCGCGCTACGAATTGGTTTGTTTTATCAATTGATTTAAATAATTTTGGACTTGTTTATTTTTAAATTAGCTAGGCGTCGACATATACAATTGCAAAAGTATAATGGTAGAAAGTGAAACAACTGTAGAAAATAAAATTATTAATTTACCATAAAAAATAAGATGTATTAGAAATTTCTTGCACGTATAAAGAATCCCCTATATATATTATTTGGGAGGTGATTCTGTAAAAACTCTTATAATTCTATATCCAGTTTTAAAATTGAAATAATTGTTGACGATGAACGTGACCCTGCAACTTTTATTCTATGGCATCTAGAAGGTTCAAAAATCGGAAACCAAGTCTTGGGAAGAGATATAATCACATATCTCTACGCCTTTAAAAACAATACATGCGTTCATTTGATGGTTAATATTGTCTATAAATAGTAACCAAACCATCCAAGAGTGACAATGTTCTCATCAAAAAGGTTTTCGGACTCGCTTTGGTCTAAATCAGTGTTGGATTAGGCTTATGAGATAGTTAAAGCATATGACATATCTCATTTGTAATTCATAATAGAACATTTGCATATGGAATCAAGAATACCACAAATTATTTAACTGCAATTCTCACGATGTTTATCACATTCCTTTTTTTTGTTAACTTTTTCACATTGTTAAATTTTGTTTTAAAATTTAATTGGCAAATGTTTTAAAATTTTGTATTTTTTAGTTTGTTTGT